TATATCAATCAGAGGCGATCACAGTCATTTAACCACTGCCTGAAGGGTCAAAGCAAGATTTCCCTGAACATCTGAAGGAGTTATTCGGCTTACAGTCCTGGACATGACTGACAGAGGAGGGGCACACATGCCTTTTTTAATGTGGTGAGAGGCATCAGAGTGACTACGCCTTTGTGTGACAAAGCGCACAAAGCTTCGTGATGTCTCAAGTATCAAACGTGTCCGAATAAGTCGACAGACAGTTTACATAACTTTCTATAAGGAAACATTCCAATCACGCGTCTTTCCGGAGAGCGCCCAAGTGTAGCCATCTCCACACCTAATGTGCACGAATATATATATATATGTTTGTCTGATTACACCCTGCCATCGGCTGGTAATGGAATGGACGTTATATATATATATATATATTATGTGTGCGTGTGTTTTCCAATCCTGTTGATGTTTTTGCCTTCTGTTCCTCACTCGTGCCAAAAATGTGCATCTCACAGCGTTGCTTCAACAGTTGAGCCCAGTATTAACTCTGCAGTCATCAATCTATGCCAAATGGTATGGGAACCCCAGGGCTTTTGCAAGGGATGGTGAGAATTGCACGAGCAGAGAGGTTAGCGAATGCTTTCTGCTCCACGCACACTGGGGTTAGGTCAGGTGTTAACAGCAATAGAAAGAGACACTCATCATCCGGAAAAGAAAGAGCAAGTCCACTTATTGAATACCCTAGAGGTCCGGAAAAGTGCTTTTTTTTTCTTCTTCTTCTTCTTCTTCTTCTTGATGCTGTATATTCCAAACCCGCCAAGTGCAGCGCCTACCTTTCAGCTGTAAGCTATGTAATGAGGCCAGGCTCCAATAAAGCACACAACATCCAGTTTGTGTGTCTGTGAGTTACTTGAGCTCATGTGTTGAGAATTGCCTATTTGGAGTGGGCACTTTTTGGGGGTTCTGGGCGACTGCATTCAGGATTGCTTCCACCAGGCAATGACATCAACATCAGAAGCAACGACAGCAGTGTTTTAAGAAGTTGTTTGAAATGAGCTAATGGGAAACCTTGCTCCAGGCAGCCAAGTCAATGATTAGACAATAGTCCTAGATTAATTAATGATATATCCCAAGGGTGAAAATAATTGTCACAGTTTATTTGCTGCACAGTAATCCAACTGGTATCCAACGGATCACTGCAGACAAGAGTGATCTAATTGCAAATCTCCCTCCAGAAACGCGCAATCTTCACAATCACCACAATCGTCGCACATCCTCTAAAGTAAATCGGAATGATCCGAGTCTCTGTGAAAGAAACGCAAACGCGTGTTTCAAAACCATTCATTGCGTGAATTCATTGCGTGGCCTCGAGAAATGACTCTTCAGATATGTTTCGCCCTCACACTGTAAGCCACAGAAGATAATATCAGTATCAAAGGGAATGCCAGTGAAGTACCACATACCCATAGTTATCACAGTGCCCCACTCCCCACGTTAATTCTAACCGATACGCACATACTACAAACTACCTGTTAGAGAGATTTACATCCAAGGGAAGGACCCAGATGTCCCAGACCAGACTATGCCTCGACGATGCTGTTCATCTCACTAAACGATCCGCCACAAAACAAAAAACTAATTTCTTTCTGACTTCGATGACTCCTCCGTCGAGATATCGCGCCCCTTTGATTGTATTTTAGTGCTTTACTGTTGAGCAAATTGAACGGAGGCTTAAAACGCCGGAGTAATGCTTGACAAGGTCCATCGATACTGATGTGCAACTGCTCCATGAGTCAAATGCTGCACTAGTCCAGGGACGATTGTAGCTCTAGGATGCGATTTGACTTAAATACAAAATTACATTACATTACATTTTGTATAACGCCTTTCGTGTCGAAAAGACCTCCCAAATGTTAACAAGAGCAGTTCACAAAATGACAACAAAACGACCACAGATGCACAGCTTGTTCAATGCATTCCCAATAATTATTCTTGTATTGTTGTTGTTATTATTTTTATCATTCTTTTGTTGTTATTCTCTTTATTACTCTTTATTGTTATTTTTATTCGCATTATTGATTTTTTAATTATTATTCTTATTATTGCATGTCGTCATTGATAATCATAATAAATGCAATACCAATTAGGTTCAAATTGACACAAGCTCTATCAAGTTTTGACATTTCTGTCGGAACTGATCGGAAATAACACCAGATCCCAATAATGCACCGAAAAATAACTGCGGCCTTTTCAGATCTAAGTATCTCTTTTTATTTATTTTTTTTTAAAAAAAAAACTTGCGTTGTCCCAAAGTACTGCGAGTCCTCCGTGGAAAAAAAAAAGAACTAACTCCAATTGAGTTCGTGTTTGCTTTACTGAATACACACACGAAGACGTGTGGATTACATAGTTTTACATAATTTGCCTGTTATTGTGCAGTCTGCGCACCATATTTCTGCACGGTTTGGTCTTGCCCTGCCAGCAATTTTTTGATTAGTCCACATGTCATGTATAATTCAACCCTAAATGCATCAGTGCATATGTATTGCAGTATTCTCCTGTGAAGTGCTGTCAATCCATAGTTACATTACGTAATCCCCAAACCTCGGAATAAGAAACCCGGGGGGGGGGGGGGGGGGGGGATGGGGGTGGGTGGGGGGAGCATTCAAATAGTCGCGTTAAATTGTCCTGGCTATTTGCGAACTTGACAACTATCTATTTAATCAGGTATTTATTTATTGCTCGTACTGCTTTGGCTGCTCTGGATAGTCTGTGAAGCGCTTTGAGACGCCTGAACGAGGTGACGAGGGGCGCTCTATTCAAACGCGAGGGCTGTCGTTATAATTATTAGTATTATTAGTATTATTATCCATTTGCAGAACTGCAAACGTGAAAACACCCCTTCGCATTGCGTGAAGGGGCAGGGCGGGATCAAGCGTTACAAGTGTCGAGCCCATTACCGAACTGGGGGGGGTGGAATAGACCGTAAAAATGCGTATTTCTCCAATGATCTGTGATTAAAAGGTCCCAGTCTAAGTCACTCGCTCACTCAGTAGCTCGGGTGGTAAATCCACTGCTGGTGACCTCGCAGCGAGTGTTTGCAAAGATTATCTGCGGTGAATCGAATGCGTTTGAAAAGATTGGTGTTCAGATCCATCCCCAAAGACGCACCGGTTTCATTAAAGTGCCAGACACATTTGGTGTGCAGGTGGGTGGGTAACTCGTGGGGTTAATTTACCCCCCCCCCCCCACCCCCCACCCCAAAAGCCGACTGTCCATCGCACTCACCATCTTATCCTTCCAAGTAATTTGGATCCAATACCTGTCCCCCCCCCACCACCTCCCCCCCCCCCCCCCCCCACCACCACCCCGCGGCCAATCTAAATATCATCTCTCAAAGAAAGGTGCACCGTAGGTTACTCAACGACAATGATAATAATAATAACTAATAATAACTAATAATAATAATCCTTGCATTTGATCCAACGCCTTATCGTCTCAAAGCGCTTCACAGAAACATACTGTAAAGTGAATTGACTTTATATTTTTTGCGGGGGAAACTTCGAACTTCATAAACACCTCCCCACCCCCTCCCACCCCCTCCCACCCCAAGGGACTGTTTTTGGGGCATTGCTGTCGCGTTTGTCTACAAACATACAGTCACTGCGTTGAACGGTATCTCCTTTCAAGCGCTTTGAGACGCCCTCCTGACACGAAGACGCTATTTCGGACGCCAGGACATTTAAAAAAAAAAAAAAATTTTTTTAGTATTATTTATATTTTGCATTGATTACCACGACAAGGAGCAACTTTCCCATTTCCCCTGGAAACCATCAGTCAAGAACATAATCGCGATGTTTCTGCCTCTCTGTCGCCGACAACCGACTATTCCATCCCCAGGGTTGGTGGCTTAATGCAGTCACTCCTTTTCAATTGGACAAACACAGTCACGACACTTGGCAGTGAATCCTGAGAAGCGCGATGAGACGTCCCCCGTGATGTTATATCAAACGCAAGAGTTATTATTGTGTGATATTTATCAATTTAACACGACTGAAATGAATATATAACGGGAAGATACCTGGTAATCACACACACTGGTCGGATTTCTAGTGGCAAAGAGATACAGGCAATATATACACGTCGTGAAAAATAAAAGCAGATTTATTTTACAAACGATTTCCTTGAACCACTGCCTTCCTTTTCGGGTATCCCCCGAATGGAATAATTAATATGATTTTGATAATTTTTTATTAGGCGAAGGAATGTGCCTATTGTATAACTTGCATTGGGATCTCATACACTATTTTGCGCAAATCCCTTAATGCAGTTCCCAGTCATTCATTATTGGACGTGTAATACAACCTTGAGGTTTTGCAGTAGCAAAGAGAGAATTAGCATAAAATGGTTCAAACAGACACTGTATTATATTTTCAATTGCCAGTTTCGAGAGTATAAATAAATCCGGAACAGCGGTCGCAGAGAAGAATTTTTTGCACCAGCAATAAGTTTTCGGGTGTGTTAGATCGGGTGACGACGAAGACTAAACGATGTGATGTTACAGTTGATTAAAATAGTCATCAGTTTGGGTTTACAGTACTGACTGCGAGTTGGAAAGGTATTAGAGACTTGCTGCATTTCACCATTCATGTTAAAAAAAAACACACCGATAAACCCAAAGTGTTAAGTAACACTGACTACCGATTTATTGCAGGATTTAAATAAAACAAAAAGACACATATTTTCTGGTTGGGAAAACTATACTTTAAAAAGGTTGTCTGTTTCATGCGTTTAGTTGCTAACTAACCTGCTGTGCATTTCCAGCACGTTATGTTTCTTTCACTTCCAAGTCTCGCTTCCTTTTATTTACATTACAGTATGTGTATTGGAAAATATCCATCGAAAGCATTGCACGATTCACACAGAATGCCCTTGGACTGTTCCACATATTATGGGATGTCACATAACTCCCCACTAGGTGGCGCCATGCGCAAATAAATTATTGAAGTAAAACTGCGTCAAAGTTTGGCTTCAGTTAACTTTTATTGTGTGGAGTGAGACTTTACTTTGCCACAGCAAAAAAAAAAATCCGGTTTACCTTCTTCAGAACCGGTTGGCGTTTTACAACGAATCGACCAAACAGAGTGTTGACTGAAACAGTGGCGATATTTCCACCATTCTCGTAAAAAGATAAATTCTGTTCATGTTTACCTACGAGTTTGCACAAGTTCATTCGCAACCCCCAATTGCAATTATATAAATTCTGCAATTCTATAAATTCTGCGAAGTAAAATAATTTTTTGATTGCCATATATAGCAAAACTGTTTTTTTTAAAATAACTGATTGATTAAAGTAAATATAAATACATAGTTGAGACAAATAGCAAAACTAACCTGTAGACTTTTATAATCATTGACAAAACAGCTATTAGTTGTACATTTCTATTATGGTTTACATATAGAACTCGTGTCAATCTCTCAGTTGCAGTTTTACCGTTAATAACGATAACAGAGTCTTGTCAATAAACCATGTTTACCCCCAAACACTTATTTAAATGATTTTTGTTTCCTTCTCGCTAGGAATGCAGCAGATGGAAATAAGTGGATGGGACATTTAAAGTGTTCAAGGACAACAGAATAACTCCCACGTTTTTAAAAAAAGTTGCCCTAACGCTAGCCCTGCCATCAGTGTAAATAGACATTTCGACACTTGTTTTTATGGTTTCCTGTTTCATTCCAGTTCAACAGTAAAAGTACCTCCAACAGATGACGATGGTGATGGTGGTGGTGATGATGATGATGATGATGATAATAATATTAATAATGTCCATTTTCTTTTGGCCAATTTTGCTGCAACATAAATTAAAATGCGTGACAGCCTTGTTTGTATTGGGTGCAGATTATTTTCGTAATGTGTATTTTTTTTTTGGTTTCTTGCTCTGGTTCCTTGCGTTCAAAGGATTAAAAGTCATCCGAATGAGTGCCAGACATCAGCGAGAGCGAACATCTCGCCAGGCAGGGAACCAGAGGTATCTGGAGCCGTGTTAGGTACAACCAGAGGCTCTGTGTTTTCGATGCTGTGCTTCAGATCGGCCCCTTCCTTAGTTTTTGCCATGAGTTGGATGGATCGATGCCTCCCTTACCAAGATCTGATCTGCGACAGGGTTTGAGATGAAAGTCAGATAGAAAAGACGCAGACCAACAAAACAACCGTGCAATAAAATTTAAAAAAATAATAAAAGCAAACAGGCATTGAGATACGTGGGTCACAGCGCCTTACCTTCCACCCGACAGATCTAGGTTTCATAAACGAATGTATGCTTTGGGTGAGTGACAAGCTTAATTTGACTGCATCGACTGTAAATGTTTTTTTTTAAAAAGAAAACTACCACCGAAAGTCCAGTTATGAACTAACTGATTGGTAAGGCAAAGCGACGACGTTACGTTCAAAAAAAAAAACCCCTTCAAGTATCATTAAACTAAATTGGTGCGTTTGCTTAATGTGACTGACACTTTGAAGTGTTGGAGTGATTAACGCTGGATTTGGGTTCGGGTTTCTCACGTTCAGGGCAAGTCGGGTTTGTGAACTGAAGCTCTAATTTTATTCACCGACACGTCAGATACCCATAAAGTATGACACGTTCTGCACTTTTTCCAAGGGTCAGTTTTGGGTCTATGAATTAAACATGCTTTGGGTGAACAACAGGGGGCTTGCTTTATAAGAAGCGTTTTTTTTTTCGCCGCACACTGAAATCCATTTGTCATTATTTAGTGCTCATAAACTGCATTAAACTGCTATGTTTAGGCGCCTAATTGTACCCCAATAGGCACTAATTTGTTTTGCAATGCGAGTCATTTTTTTTTAATCCCAAATCTTGTGCGGTTGGGGTTACATTGTGAGAATGGACTGACATTTGAAGAGTTTTTGCAGCATATGGTGGAAGTGGGGGAAAGAGATTGATTTACTTTAAGATTACTTTTCCAGTAGTTCTACGGGTGATGGCAATTTGAAAGGAATTAATAGTATATAATACCATTGGCTCTCTCAAATCCAGTTAGGTTAACACTGCATTTACTGATTTATGAGAACAACAATTTAATTTTCTAGTGAGGTCACCGCGAATATCCATTAACTGCCTCCCCGACTATTATTTTTTTCTGAATAATGTCGTTACCATTACTTAGTCGCAACATCACTTTCGATGACTTCATAAATACGGCGTTTAAGGTAAGCTGTTTAGAAAAAAAAAGGCTCCACTTCATTTTATAAACCCACGCACATGAATAAATCGGCCTTTTCTTAATAAACCGGATTTAGTATTGACCTGAGTGACTGAGCGAATCGCTAGGAACTCGGTTTAGCTTCAAATAAATATAATTCTACCATATCCTTGCATTTGGGTTTCCATATTTATAAGCATCTTGCAAAAATCACAGGATGCAGCAATGGGGGAGGTATTTGCTATAGCGAAGAGACTTGAAAATCAATGTGTCTGTTTGGGGTTCTTTGACAGATTGGCATTTTTAAAAATAAATTGCAAATAGCAAATCCCTCGTATTATTTGTTCCAACCCCGGTGTGTGTGAATGTATGTGTGAATGTGTGTGTGTGTGTGTGTGTGTGTGTGAATGAACACACCGTTTTTATATTTCCAAATAGCACGTTTCATGAAGTCATTAAATTAGACCCTGTTCAAAAGTGTAATGTGCATTTGTTACCAGGTTTTAGACAATTTGATTGAACAAACAATAAATAAAATCAGAATTAAGTAGTAACAGTGCCTCCTTTCTTCGTAGACAAACTTATGAAAAACCCTTTTCACCAACTCTGTCAATCGACTGTATGTCTTCTCTCTTAATCTATGGCTTTAAGAAAGCGAGCGACTCGAAAACACACTTGAATTGCGTTAAAAGGTTACTGAGACCATATGCTTTTTTCCTTTTTAGCTATGGATTGTTACGTTAAAATGCATCTGAACTTTCGAGCTTTGAGATGACGATGGCGAGCAAATTGTTTTGTTTTAGTATTAGGCGACTTCAAAACAAAAATATATATATATTTAATTTGGATGAAATCTAAAGAAGAAAATAGCCCTTTTTTGATATCAAAAGGGAGTCGCGGTCACAGAGACTGTGCAAGATGATGGTTTCAACATTCTCATTTGCAAGTGGGTTTCAATGGTTGTCAAATAAAGTTGTCGCTTCATATATAGAAAGTACCTGCAGTAGCAGTGAGCAATGTCTTTTAGTGACTATTTGGGTGGAGTATATCATATTTATACATTCTCAGGACCGGTGCTGTCCTAACTTTGGGTGAAGTATATTAAATAAACCTAACATTTCAGGGTTTTTTTGGGGGGGTGGGGGGGGGGGGGGAGGGTTGGGGGGGGTAAATAAAACTGATTTAGTGTTTGGTTTGCGCCGTCACACCGAGATGCTATATATATATATTATGTTATATATATATATATATTACAGACACCTTGGTTCAATGAAAGGTCCTGTTTTAAAATGGTTTGGGACTGTTCCCAATCTCCAGTGGCAATTTGGGATTTCTCTGTCATCTGCTTTCCACAATTGGAAAGTGTGACACTGGTTTGGGTGAGAGATACAGAGGTTGGAAGGGCATTGATATAAGCGACTCGTGTTATATACTCAGCCCCATTCTCTCTCACTTCGCTTCTCTTGTTCCATTTCAATATTGACATTATTTTTTCTCTTCTCTCAGAACCGATGGCAATATTAATTGAGATACTGACGGTTCTTCGAGGTACTATTTAGGGCACTCCAGTTTTGTCGGCGGTGTCTGGGGTCAATTGTAAGTCATGCATAATTCAAAGCTATTTCGCTCTGATCCATACCAGGAATTTTGTTTGGGATGCAATGAAAAAATAATTTCCCCAGTGCTCAAAACCTGACCGAACTATAAAGTTCAAGCTGTTTATTTTGACAATGGGCGAGTTCATTCTGGGATTAGTCTGAAACTAGATGGCTTTATAGGAACCCTATAACTCCAAAACCAAATCCATCCACAAATCCAGATTATTCTTTGATGTATCGACAGGGTCAGTCTTACCAAACATTAAGTAATAATTCGGCTCTCGCTCTGAACTAAAGGAAATATTTTCTGAATGAGACAGACTTGAAAGATAAGAGCACTGGAATCTCTATTAATAAGAGGATTGTTTAACCATTTCACACTGCAATCAATTACCGCCGTAATTCTTTTTAATACAAAAAAGGGGAGGAAAAAAAACTTAATTCGCACGCGTTGTGTGAAACAGGCAAACCTCGGGTACTTTGCAGGCTTTTGCGCCATTCGCACATTTTTCGCTCGCATTCGGAAAGCGTTTCTGTTTATAATATCTAATGTTGATTTCCATGAATCAATTCACAATCCTTTCGGGACAAAAAAAAACTATAATGTCTAAACTTCCATCACGCCTATTTATCCCGTTGTGTTTTGCGACCATAACTGGATTTTCTTAGAATACGAGATCACTGATATTAAGGTTTTTGGGGGGCGGTGGGGATTGCTTAATGTTCCGCTATGGTTGCATCAAAAAAAAATAAAACAAGCACTTGCAAATAAACGTTTAATAGTCGCGCTCGAAAAAATAAATGTAACACACGCTGTTCTGCCGACCTCAAAGTCAGAATTAGCGAAAGATGCCAATTGTGCGCTTCTGCCCATTTGAAAGGCGCGGTGTTCGGTACAGAATAAAACATTACTTACGGGGGAGTGAGGCCGCAAAGCGCTCAACCGGTTTTTAATTGATTAAAAACAAAACGTCTCCTAACTGGACTTGCCTGTGCATTAGCTAAACGTGGCCGAGACACGTATTCAATGTGAGCGAAATCAAATGCATTCTGATATTTGCTTTTTTTTCGTCATTCCAGCGGTGGGGGGGGGGGGGAGAGATGGGGGGGAGGGGGATTGGACAGAAAACTGCTGTATGTGGGTGTGTGTGTGTGAGTGAGTGAGTGTGTGCGTTGGGGGGAGTGGGGTGGAGTGGGGGGGGAATAGAGGGAATCTTACCAAATTAATTTGTTAGAGAGAGAGCGAGAGAGAGTTGCATGCAATCCGGGCTGAGTTTTTATGGCTGTGTAAACGCGGTGAGGAGAGCCAGAAACATTGATCCACTCGGTACATGCAGACATTTGAGTGATTGATTAACGAGCGCGTTTCAATGGTTAATTTCCATCGCTCTTAACGAACACAGGGGATTTATACCCTATTGTGTGTATATATGTTTTTTTTAGAAAAAAGCCTCAGAGTGAATGCGACAGAGCAAAAAAGCGGTGAAATAACACCGAGAGGAAGAGGAGGAGGTGATGGGATTGTTGTTTTTGTGTGTGTGTGCGGTGGTTGTTGTTTTGTTTTGAACTTAATAGAAACTCGAACAAACAGCAAAAGAGAGGAGAAGGGGGGGAGAAAAATACCCTCAGCGCCAAAGCATTCTGACTGCGTAAAGATGATATAATTATCTAATAGCACTATTTCCCGACCCGACCAATAGCAATACAGAGGGACTCCAGGTCCCACTCAGGTTTCTGGACGTGAGGAGGAGAGCAAAACCCGGAGTGGGCACTCAGACATCACACACTCACTGTGAACTTTTCCAGCATCCTGCATCGACTTAGGCAATTGTAAAATTGCTTCTAACAAATCATTCTCCAATCCCTCTCTTGAACGCCATTGCATGCATGTGTGCGTGTGTGTGTGTGTGTGTGCGTGTGTAAAAAAATCAACAGCGTTACAAGACACACACACACACACACACACATGCACACAAATAAAAATCAGGCTCACGTTAAAGCACCCACGTTGGGTAGGTCTTCTCTCTCAAAGTGTTCAGCTGTTGCGTATTTGAAAATATGATTGGTGGTAAAAAAAAATCGTGACTGATCCCTTTCCTTAATATATACTGTAGAGATATATATATATATATATATAGTGTAAGTGTAGGGGCTATCGGGAGATGATTGGACGTGGGCAAAGGGGGGGCTTTTGTGTGCGTCTCGGTTTTGCTTTGATCCGATCCGTATTGATGGAATCCGCTTCTCCGGGATCAAGGCAGCAATTGACGCATTTAAGAGTCTTCCCTCAACCTCAAGGCGAGTAATAGCGACCAATCATCGAGCCATTACACAGTGCTTCACTGAAAGCTGTTTATGTGATACCAGCACTAATTAGCTCATGAACTAACAAGTCGTTTGCACAACTTTTCAGCCGTGTGATAAAGTGACCGCATAGATGGATTGCCTCTGGACTATGTGGACACGTCGCTAAAGTGTTCTCGAAAACCAACTTTTTTTTTTCTCTCTCCCCCCCCCCCTCCCGATGTCCTCTCTTCTTCCATCTCAGCAGTAATACTTTTTTTTTAAAAAAATATATAGGAGGGGAGGGGGGCAAAAGCATTGCATTTCAGTGCATTGCACAGCCGACCATTTTCCTTCTTCTTTTACCCCCCCCCCCCTCTCCCTACCCCCCCCCCACCCACCCCTCCCTCCCTCCTTTTTTTCACTGTTTTTTTTTGAAAAAAAAACCATGTTCCAGCCAACACCGAAGCGGTGTTTTACCATCGAATCTCTGGTTGCGAAGGATAGCCCGGTGCCTGTTTCGAGATCAGAGGAACCTATAAGGCCGGCCGCCCTCAGCTATGCAAACTCTAACCCGGTGAACCCATTCCTGAACGGCTTCCACCCCGGCGGCAGAGCTGTCTATTCCAACCCGGACCTTGTATTCGCTGACGCGGTCTCTCACTCCACCAACACGGCGCTACCGGTCCATCCGGTACCCCCACATCCATTAGCCGCTCACCCTCTCCAGACGTCGCACTCGCCACATCCCCTGTTCGCATCGCAACAAAGAGATCCTTCAACTTTCTATCCCTGGTTGATACATCGGTACAGATATCTGGGACACAGGTTTCAAGGTAGGTTCGCTGTTTACGCACTGATTTTTGTGTGGGGTGTGCGTTTTTGTGTGGGGTGTGCGTTTTTGTGTGGGGTGTGCGTTTTTGTGTGGGGTGTGCGTTTGTGTGGGGTGTGCGTTTGTGTGGGGTGTGCGTTTGTGGGGTGTGTGTGTGTGCGTGTGTGTGGGGTGGGTAAGTGTTGTGAAGTTATGTGATTCTTTTTTTAGAGAGAGAGAGAGAGTTTAATTCCTGCTGGATTTTTATTCTGCAGTTAAAGCTGCAACGACTACACACACACGACACACACACACACACACACACGAAAGCACTTCGCCGATCGCTTTCCTAACTTCTGCGGTAGTTTTAGCGAAACGAAACTTTTCGACCGGTTTGGTTGAGCGGCGGCCCATTTTTTTTTGTGTGTGTGTGTGCGTGTGTTTTTTTTTCGGGTGTTGCGGGCAACCGCAGTCCTTGTGCTGAAATGCGGGGCTACCAAAAAAAAAGGGCTGAAGAGGATAAAAGCGCAATTGCGAGTGAAATCGGTAAAAAGATGTGCATTCGCCGACTCGATCGAGCGATCAGCTCTCAGGGAAAAAAAAATAGTGTGGGGGGGGGGGGGAAGAGAAAAAAAAGTTGCCTTTCCTGTGGCTTTTTTTTTACTGCTTTGCATCGACTTTGGTTAAAAGTCGCAGCTCATTGCAAAACCCATCACAAGTCTACTTGGTGTGGACTCTAGAAATGCATCGGCGCTGGTTTTCTCTCTCTCTCTCTCTCTCTCTCTCTCTCTCCCTTTCTCTCTTCTCCCCTCCAGCTGACTCCCTCCCTCCCTCCCTCCCTCCTTCCTTTTTCTTTAGAAAATCGCAGGCCAAAAACTGAGCAAAAAAAAAAGCCCCGAGGCCAAGGCTTGGTGGGGCGCGTTGCTTATTTAATTCAGCCAAAACGCTTAACAAACCTGCATCCTCACCCAGAAAACTACACAGCGGTGTTAACTCAAAACGTGCCTTCTCACCCACACCGCACTCACTCATCCGAACACATCGCAGTCTATTTAAGAGGAACAGTGCGATTCTCCTGTTCGCTTCACCAACAGTAGCTTTTTTTTTAAACCCCCCCCCCCCCCACCCTCCAAAAAAAAATTCATAAACTTCGTTTGTTTTAATCCTTTTAGACAAGATGTGTCATGCGGGGCTTTTTTTTTCGGGGTGGGGGTGGGGGGATATCAACGCCTATTTTATGCATCAGTGGAAAAGCGTCGGAAATAGGTTATTTGGAGCCCTTCTGATCAACGGGGATTGATTTTATTTGTCCTCCTTTCAATGTTCAAAGAGTTTTTTTTCTCCCCCCCCCCCCACCCCTCAATCGTAACGATTTGAGACAAAAAAACACCTCTTTTACGCAAACGAAGAAGCGTGGAGTTATAAAATGCGGGGTTGTGTTGTGCTATCGATCCTCGCATCGAACCAAGGTCGCCAACTGGAGAGAATATCTTAAGACAAACACAGTCGGTCTATAATCCGCAGGTGGAACAACACGTTCAATGTTTTTGACAGGCAATCGGGGAGTGAGTGTGCAAAGGCGCGTTCTCTGCCGGGGTGGGGGGGGGGGGGGGGGTGGGGTGTGTGTGTGTGTGTAAATGAAATAAAATCGAGAATGCGAGCAACTAAACGAATTCTGTTTGGAAAATTATACCTCGACGCTTTACTCACGTCTGGTGCAACTCGTTCAGAGAGCCCAAGTTTTGAGAGCAACACTCCTAAACTTTTCCTCCAAACGTTCTCTGCATTTATTCAATTCCAGTTTATTCAATTCGAAGTCGGTTTCCCACGACCCCCATCCCACACACCCACCCCCTCCCCCCCCCCCCCCCTCCACACTTTCCCAACCCCCCGATATATTTAAGAAAAACACAGCGTGTGGCGTTAATAAAACAAAACCAGAACAAATCGAACAGATCGCACTCCTGGTTTTGTCCAAACGCGGATCTTTTTTTCACTCTCCCCCCCCTGTGCGTACGTGTGTGTTTGTTATTCTAGTTGTGGTGCGTTTTTGTTTTTCTCGTCCCACTTCTTCTTCTTCTTCTTCGTTGTTTTAGGAAACGAGACGAGCCCGGAGAGCTTTTTACTGCATAATGCGCTGGCTCGAAAACCCAAGCGCATACGAACAGCTTTCTCGCCGTCTCAGCTGTTAAGGTTGGAACACGCCTTCGAAAAGAATCACTATGTAGTCGGAGCCGAGAGAAAACAACTCGCACATAGCCTCAGTCTAACAGAAACTCAGGTAACGAGCCATCCTTCTCAACTCCATGCAACTCCGTCAATTATTTTTTTCTTTCTCTCTTTTTCTCAAACCCGGCAAAAATGTTGATTTTATTTTTTTCTCTCTCTCGTTTTCTTTTTCGTTGGTGGTTTTGGGGGCAGAGGGAGGGTAATTGTGCGCGCGTGTGTGTGTGTGTGTGTGTGTCTATCCACCCCCCCCCAAAAAAACAACAATTATCATTGTAAAGTGTCCGGGAATCTCTTCATAGGCAAGTCAGTGATTTTTTTAAAAAAACAATAAAAAGGTTTTTTTGTTGCCCTTTTATTGTTGCTTATGCCAAACGTGCGAACTTCAAATATATATTTTTTGGACCTCTTAAAACGTATATGTATATTTCCCCCACCCTCCCCCACCGCTCCATTTCCACAACCCCCCACCCCCCCCCACCAAAAAAAAATAAGTGACAATCACACATCGAAATGTTGTGACAGCACAAAAAAAAATCGGATGTGTGTGTGTGCGTTAAAACGGGTCGACCTCAACTCGGAGACTGGAGCGCGTCGCTTAAATGACCTGCGTGCTAACGGTGAACATTAAACGCGGGGTTTAAAACGGATTAAGAATAATTAGGTGGAGTGATGCAATTTTATGCAATAAGGGTTGATTTCCAATTCGACTCGGGTTCACTAGGAACTGCGGGGATGGACAGGGCGAGGTTCATTTGGTTGTTTCCTTGCGTCAATACCGACGCCAAGATCAATTGTGTTGGTGTGCACATAGATGCTTAGTTTGACTTATTTATTGTTTTCGGGTTATTTTTTTTTTTTTGGGGGGGGGGGGGGGGGGGGGCTTCGCAAACTGGTTGTGGATTTGAAATTAAAAAAAATTCTGACTCGGCCACTTATACCAGAAATAATCACTTTTTTTTTAAAGAGCAGCGGTTGACACACACATGCCATTCGCGGCTCATTGGGTTTTGCTGTGGCGTAAATTGCCGTTCACCATTCGCAGTGGTTTTGCGAATCGTATAGATTCTGTCTCTCCCCCTCATCTCCCCTTTCCTCCAACCACACACATGCTTACACCCCACCCCCAACCCCCACCTCATTTTAAAAAAAAGAGACGATTGAAAAACGTAGTGTAAAAACACAGGTAATAAATAGTAAATAGGTACAGAAAAGCACAGAGTAAACCTTCGCTTTGGGGATGGTAATTCTAACACTGTAACAGCGCTAGGATAGGGAAGGCAAGCGCCTTATTATATATAATATATATATACATATACCTTGATCCCTCTCGCCTTTAAAACGATATCCCAAAACATTAGAGAAAGAGAGCACCCAGAGAGAGAGAGAGGGAGAAGAGGAGGGAGAATAAAACAGTCTTCTTGTTCAGTTGCCTGGCAAACAAGGCAGCGGTCAGGGCTTAATTTCCTACTTAATGCGGTCTTTAAGGTGGCTTTGTGTGTGACGGGGAACCGACGCTGGCTGGATGCTTTTGTCCCAGTATCAGGGCCTTGGGTTGAACAAAAAAAAACTAGTTCCCTTTGCAAAACCCGCAGCTTTCTCCCTCAATTAGGAAAAAAAGGGGAGAATGAATTGCAGGTCCGTTTTTTTTTGATAGAAGCGCTGCCACGATATAATGAAAAGAAACGACTCACAAGACAAATATGTATTTTGTCGTGTCCCCCCCCACCCCTCTAAAGCACCATCACATATCCGCGTGTGGTTGGTGTGTGTGTGTGTGTGTGTGTGTGTTGCGGTGTGTTGTGTTTTTCTTTTTTAAATAAAAAAACACTTGCACCGGTAAATATCTCCCACCAAAGGGACGCGAGGGTCAATGATATCAATGCACTGTTGTGCAGAAGAAGTCAGTCACTGTGAGACTTTAGATCGATCTGTCACCAGCGCCCTCGCTCTTATCTGAGGCTTATCTGCAAACAAATCCCGCATCTCAATGTGAATTGCTCGTATGAATTTGTCATGTGAATTAATTCCCTTAATGGGAAAGTAGTTTCTGACTGGTGGGGGTTTGTGTTTGAGGGGAGGTGGGTGTGGGGGGTGGGGGGGGGGGGGGGGAGAGAGAGAGCATTTGTGCTCCTGCAGGTTATTTAAAAGTTAACCGTGAACAGTACATTCGTGTATAAAGCTAATTCCCCAAAGGCAACAACAAAAAAACCCAACAAATACATTTGTACAGCGCCCCTCACTCAGGGTAGCAGTTCCAGAACGCTTTCCTTTTTTAAAAAAAGTCCTAAAATAGACTCACTATGATAAGTCTTTAAACATCAAGTCTCGCTTTTTTTCCCCCCCCACGCGTTTATCGTTCGGTATTTAAATTCATTTTGGGGGCCTGTAACACGGGTCAAATCTGGTGATTTACTTTGGCGATGCGGGAATAAACCCCGGACGAGGGTTAAGGGTGAATAAAATCCCAAAAGAAGGCTGTGTGTGTGTGTGAGAGAGAGATATAATATGATGCGAATGGAGGTGGACAGGAGCTAAGGTAACTTGCACGTTAGCAGAGAAAGTTTCCAGTTTGGTTAGGGAGTGAAAGAGTGATAGAGCTTTGTGTTGATTTTTTTATTGTAAAGAAACACTATTCTTTTAATATAACATATAACATAAAACACATGCACTGTATCCCAATACTGTTTTGCGTATTTTGGGGGCATTTTGTGTTTGCAAATCAATGTCACTCGCTTTGTCGCGATTTATTAAATCAATGATACTTATTAAATCCAGCGATATTTATTCAATCCAATAAACATTGTACCTCATTATAATCTGAGTTCGCCCACCTTGTCCCACGTAAAACCCTCTCTAAATCGGTTTCCTTTTTTTTTACTTGAACCACATTTCGGGACCGGCATTACAACTTTTAACTGTAAAAAATATACATTGATTCCATTAGATACTCAGTGAAGTCTTTTAGCACTGGATCAGCGTGAGCAGTTTCAGGCGGGGCGGTTATAATAAATTAATAATCCTTGCATTTGACACAGCGCCTTAGCACTTCGTCGAGACGTCTCAAAACGCTTCACATGATACACTGTTAGGTGTAGTGACTGTGCGGTCGGTGGGCAAAACGCGGCTGGCAATTGCGCACAGCAGCGTCCCTCAAACAGTTGTGGATGGAGTGACCAGATTATTCTTATTGACAACAGATTACAGATTTTATTCTCTTGTGTTGGATAAAGAAAGCAAATGCCAAGACGTTGAATCGAAACAGTGTTTAGAATTGAATGCGACGCCTTAAACCGGACGAGAAATGTATTTAATTTGCAAAAAAAAAAGTTGCATTGAATGTTTGTGACAACTTTTTGCCTGTTTCGTTTCCTCCCCCCTTTCTCTCCATCTCTCTCTCTCTCTCTCTCTCACACACACTCTCTCACACGCATACACACACACACACACACGCACACACACAGGTAAAAGTCTGGTTCCAGAACAGACGAACGAAATTCAAGCGCCAGAAGTTGGAAGAGGAAGGAACAGACGCGCAACAGAAGAAAAAGGGGACCCATCACGTCAATCGATGGAGAATCGCGACCAAACAGGCCAGCCCAGAGGAGATAGATGTCACCTCGGACGATTAGGAACTGAGGATCCGTGTCAAACCATAGTGTTAACTTCCAAATCGGCAGCGAAAAAAAAATGTGCTGATGTAGAGAGAGAGAGAGAGAGAGAGAGAGAAACACTTTTCATCTTTTTTTAAAAAAAAATGCAATTTCTGTGAAGAGACCCGAGAGAAAGAGAGACATATGGTGACTTGACTGACTTTGGACTGAACTGGGCGAAGGTAGAAGAATTCGCTCTTGCTCAAAGCACTAGTTTGATCAGTCAACTCCGGCCAAGATGATTGATCGACAAGAGGAACTCGTTGTATTCTTGTGTTGCGATCCGTTTTCACACATGTACTTCCAAATCCAATTCCGGACTTTTTGCACTTGAAAGAATTGAAAGAGAGAGGGGGGGAGGAAAAAACTCCAACTACTACTACAACAATAACAACAGCAGCAGCAGCAAAACAGACCGCAAACATTGCAGAAAAAAACCCCCCCACACCTGTTTCACGACCCCGAATTGCATGTGAGCCGCTTGTGAAGAAGATGGATTTTTTTTCAATGATTAAAAAAAGATAGACTTTTTTTTATTTTCTTCCCCCCCCCTCCCCCACCTCTTATTTGCTTTTTTTCTTCTTCAGATAGAGAGAGAGAGAGTGAGAGAAAGTGTGGTTCTGTCCAGCTGTAAAGCGCTCTTTTTTTAAAAAACAGAAATGTGCTATCTTAAGTAATTATAATTATAATTTCTGGCGTCGACGTGATTGTGAAAAGAAACAGCTATATGAAGAAGTAGCGAGATACAGTACAGCGTTTTTTTTAAAAAAAGTGTTTCCACAAAAAAAGTTAAGCGTCATATGGTTTTTTTAATTGTATTATATATATATATATATATACAAGAAACAAAATTGTGTTTCGACCACAATTCGGGTCCTTTATTTAAAAAAAAACTCAAAAGTATTCGGATATTCCCTGTGCATCAGTCTTGAAGCGAAACCAATTCCTAGAACGTGCCGTTAAGGTATGACAGAACTTTATTTGCAAAGTGATTGCAAAGGAGGAAAAAAAAGGCGAGTTTGGGCTATCTTCTGTGGTTTGAGTTGAGCACTGAGCTTCTCATCGATGTGTTTCCCTGCGACACTAAAGTGAAAAGATGTTTCTGTAATGTCTTCTATTCGAATGTAAATACTTGTGTTTTGTTGAGTTTGTTGCAATTTTAACACATTTATACTTCCAAGAAGTATGTCATTGTCATATTTTGTCAATAAAGATTTATCCATTTGCTGCTCATAAGGATCCAAGCAATGGCATATGTGTTGTGTATATTATAGATATATTTAATTTTTTTTGCAGAAATCGTATAGCCGATTTGCATCCTTTTTGCTGGACCCCCCCCCACCCACCCCCATCGTTTTAATCCGATTGACATGACTGAATCGGTTAACCCTTTAAGATCTTAATGCATTTGACACTTTTGCAGAACTAACGTGGGGCATTCGTTCGGCATTCGCACCCGAACCCAACTACTCTAACACCCCACACCCCACCTCGACCCAACCCGCCTCCCTCCCTCCCTCCCCATCACTGAACAACCGCAAAAGGTACATTTCCTATTTGATATTATATTGTTAAACGTTATAAAAGAGAGGTCAGATGAGGTCAAAGCATATCCGCTGAAGACTGGGCGTGTGGTTACCGCTTCTTATAACATTGGAATCGTAATCATTTGCTGTGTTTTTTTTAACAATATTCCGAAAATGGTCCAGTGATTCGCTTGTTGTCAGATGTGTATTTTAGGAATAAATATCGGAGAGGGTAACATTTTATAGGATTTCTCCCCCCCCCCCACCACCCTGATTCGTAATCGCAGCGTAAAAATGAAAGGGATCAAGCGTTTGCGCACACAATTAATTTCCCCAGTGTTTGTCAACTGGCGAAACTTTTTTTTTTTAACCTCGCAATCGCTTATATCTCTCTATATTCTAGATTCTTTTTTAATTTTAATTGAAATCATAATTAAAAGTGTAGCATTTGAACTATTTGTAACAGGCTCTTGACTACAAAACGGGGTTTGTGAGCTGGGCAATGTTTTTTCATGGCTAATTTACTTTCCATCCTGATAGACTGCATTAATCAGTTTTATTTCCATTGACAGAAACCCAGTCTGCTCTGTCGAGTTACAAAGACCCCTAAAATCTTTTGTGAAAGTGCAAATCAGTTTAAGCAATTATCATACCAGGAATATTGAGGCAAGCAGAAAGCAGCGCCACTGGCCCGTTTAATCTCTTAATCCATGTATAGAGGGAATAGCTTGACATAACTCAGGACAAATCTCACCAGTAGTCACACTGTGATACGGCGCAGTTACAAAGGACGGGGAGAAAGAAGCGCTTTGTTTTAACCCGTGTTTTTAAATTGCACAATTAATTGCGGCTCACACGCGCCCGCGCAATGGGGCAAAACATTAAAAGTTTTTTTTTCAGACTAATACGTGGGCCGGGTACACCAGGGGACCTGTGCACAGGACATATTCAAGGTGAAAACTGGTGTGTATCACACAGCTTTTAATTGTAATTTATATGCAGCATTACTGATAATAATCCTCGCACTTGATCCGGCGCCTCATCGCGTCTTCGAGACGTCTCCAAGCGCTTCACGGAATATACTGTAAAGTGAATTGACTGTGTATTTTTTGTGGGTGTGTATACATATTGTGTGTGTGTGTGTGTGTCGTTAAACGGTGTGCAAACACACTCACCGACCCGTTTTACCATATTCGGTAAAGATCTAATTTGAGGGGAGAAACGCTCATTCCATTCGTTTTAGCGTTTGCTATTTTTTTTAAAAAAAAACATATATACATTTTGATGTTTATTTTAAGAAAAAATGAAACGTTGTGATCGTTCTCTCTCCGCGTTTTGGGAGGTGTGTTCCCTCTCGATTTCAGATCTCTCTCTCTCTCTCTCTCTCTCTCTCTATCCCATTGCCGCAGCGAAGCTGTTGTGCTTTTATTTTAACCCCTCGACGCATTGGATAGTCGCGAATGATAATGCGGGCAAAAAAAGGCAAAAGGGGGAGCGAATTTCTAAAGCTTCAAGATTTGAGAAGAACTCGGGTCCTTTTCCTTAAAATGCTTCCCCATCCGAATCAGAGAGAGAGAGAGAAGAGAGAGAGAGAGAGAGTTAAAAAAAAAAGCCTCGCATTTTACACTATTACATAAAACTAGCCTTGGAAGAACTTAAACCGTCCTAGGCAGGCGGGCGATAGCAATAAATCTTTTGAGAATAACATTAGCTTTGAAAAAAAAACCCCCAAAAAGCTTTATTACCAAGCGAGCTTTGAAAATAGGGGATTAGGGAGGCTGAAAAGGTTGCACAATACTTAGAAGAAAAGGTTTCATGCTAATGAGGTTAATGCCCTTTGTATCGCAGAACTACACAACTTCATTACTCACTATCTCAATATACACCGAGCCGCGCCGAGGACCCGACTGACGCTGAATACACATGAGCTTTCCCTGACCGGCTAAAGGAGGATTTTATAACCAGGTCTGTTCAAACTAGATAATTATATCTTTTCAAGTCGGAATTAAGATAAATAACTGGAGGAAAAGACGGCTCGCCTTGATCCCTGGAACCAAAATTTGGCGCACTTTTTTTTTCTCTCTCTCTCTCTCTCTCTAAAGCATCAAACAGCCGACCCAGGGAACAGTTGATCTCATTTAAGAAGTTTATATATTATATGTAATATATTTATGCATCTGCTCGAGTTGATTTCATTTTATTCTTTCTGTTAATTATATATGTGTGCGTGTGTGTGTGTGTGTGTGTGTGTGTGTGGAAGACGACCAGATTTGTGTTGCGCGGAAAATGTTACTGTCAATTGAGAAGTTTGAAACATTTAATATATAGTGTATTTATATTTATAAAGCTTATTGGTTATATATATATTATATATATATAGACCGTTATTACCAATAAGCTAGCGTTTTTTTCCCCCTTCCCAAATGAATTCATTCCTCTTAATGTATTCCAAGCTCAGAATTTCATTGCAAAGAGAGAGAGAGAGAGAGAGAAAAACATTACTAAAAGCCCAGTAATTCTTAATCCCCAGGGGCACTGTTTATTGTGAGTGGCTGTGTTAAAATCATCTCCTATTGTGGAGACACAGGATTATTATTGCTATTAGAATATCAAAGAGAGAGAAAAAAAGAATCCGGTGCGACCAATAGTTGGGAGAGATACACAAGTACAGTGTATGTGAGTGAGTGTGTGTGTATAGACGTGTTGTTGACAACACTCATATTAATACTATACCAACACCCCAGGGAGCAGAGTTCTGTTCTTTTTCCGACAGGTCTTTTCAATAGATAAATACCTCTTTAACGGTAGAAGCTAAGGTGCTGGAGGATTTTTTTTTGGAGGGGGGGGAGAGATGAGAGAAACTTGCTGAAAGGTGTACCTCGCATCCAGTTCAACCTCTCTCTTGACACCAAATAAGTGGCGAGTTTGCGCTGTGCCACTCAAACTCGTGTCTGGACGCTTTAATAGGGCAAATATTACGGTCCATGTTTCTAGTTTATCCTTATAACTTTGACTTTTGTGTGTGTGTGTGTGCTGATAAAGTAGCACTTTTACTAACAAGAGGGTGAAAGAGCGACAGACAGCTTTGGAGTTTCTTATACTATTGTATATTCTCTCTCTCTCTCTCTTTACACCCCAACCTCGGGATGGAGTGGTGATTCTAGCTATTGCATAGATAGATAGATACAGATTCCTAAATGATCCCGAATATGAAACTGACTGATGATTTTTCAATCAGAGAGAGAGAGAGAGAGAGAGAGAAAAAACCCTCGTTTTCCTTTGCGAGTTCTAGTCGAGCGTTTCCAAGTTAATTTAGACCCGTTACCGCACGGGTGAGACTTTAGGGGAATTAACGAGCAGTGAGAGAGAGAGAGAGAGAAAAAAAAAGTTTGGGGGGTGGGGTGGGGGGGAAACTGATTCTGACCGTGAAGAAATGGCTCATTAGAAAGTCATTTGACTGATATACAGGCGTCAGTCTGATGTTGTCCTTATCCCTTCCCTTTCAGTGAGAAACTCAAACCTTCCTCAACACACACACACTCGCCAGCTTTTCCTGTTGTATCCTCTGATCAGTATCACTGTTTAGGAACTATTTAGACCTCCATATATCAACTGATTTACTTTTAAAAACAACCCCGCTGCGATTTGCAAGTGGGAGTTTTGAGAACCCGGTGACCCAAGTCAGTCTCAGAGTTGAGGCGTTTTAATGTCACGGTTTCAAGCGGCGAAGCCCAGGCAGTGAATCAATCTCCTCTCGTTTAATTGATCGGTTGCAATTATTCCAGAGATACACTGGAGCGAGTCATTAGTTAGATATACCTCTCTGTATAAAAATGCCCCTTCACGACTGAGCAAAAGAACGCCTCTCTCCATCTCTCGAAAGTAAATGACCCTTTTCTCCCTTTCTCCCCCTACAATCAAATCTGTCTTATGGAGTCAGAATTTCATTCACTCTGAATTGCTAAGTTTATATATCCCACCACCACACATTTGCAACACACACACACACACAATCCAATCGCGGGACTGAATCTTTAACCCATTCACAAGGATATTAATGGGCATTCAAACGTTTACCATGTTACTAATCCACTTTTTTAATGTACCAATTCTTCAATCTATATCCCAAACCAATAAAAAAAAACTTTTGCATAGAATGCAACTGGCTTATTACCACCGAATTTTTTCTAAAACAAAAATTGAATGGCAGGCATCCGTATAAAACTGGCTCATTTTCGACCACTATGTTGTCATTCGTATACTCACTTACCTTCACATTACCAACCGCCCATAACATGACACTACCCTTACCTGAAACACATTGCACAAACAACAGACCCTCACAGCCACACCACCCCACCCAAATTCCTCAGTTTGTCCCCTTTATTAGTTCAATGACCGCGTTGAGTGCACCTGTTTTTTTGTTGTTGTTGCAGAACTCAATACATTTAAACCATACCCATATACTCCAAGCCTTCCCCCCCTTTGCTCTATCTGCTCTCCCCCTTTTGCTCTGTCTGCTCTCCCCCTTTTGCTCTGTCTGCTCTCCCCCCTTTTGCTCTGTCTGCTCTCCCCCTTTTGCTCTGTCTGCTCTCCCCCCTTTTGCTCTGTCTGCTCTCCCCCCTTTTGCTCTGTCTGCTCTCCCCCCTTTTGCTGTCTGCTCTCCCCCCTTTTGCTCTGTCTGCTCTCCCCCTTTTGCTGTCTGCTCTCCCCCTTTTGCTCTGTCTGCTCTCCCCCCTTTTGCTCTGTCTGCTCTCCCCCCTTTTGCTCTGTCTGCTCTCCCCCTGTGCTCTATCTGGCCCGCACCTTCCCCGCGTTAGCTGGAAAAGGAAAGCTGATTTCCTTAGTCTAGTCTTCCAGCTAATATTTATACCAAGGCATATATTGCCCCTGATGGACCTGACGTCAGAAAGAACTTGATCCATCGAGTTTCACGAATTGCCTCTGAAACTGATCCCTGAAATGAGAGTACCCGCTCTACACGATTCCCATGGCCTTGACATAAGGTACAGCGATAAATATACACAGCTAATGAGCAATTACCATATAATCACCTTCCAATTAGCTTGCATAATGATGAATTAAACATTCCAGCCTGCTGGATTATGTTTCCTTACTTTGTATATTATTTACGAAGGGCTAGCCACTCAAAGCACAAAAAATATCGAATTATATAGGGACTTTCCTGATCAGAGTGCCATTATAAATTCAATTGTATGCTGTGTTTTTTTTTCATTTGGCAAATGAGGCAGTGGCTGTCTGCAGACTGCGAAGTTGAGTGTTTGTCTCGTCTCTAAATTAATTGGGGAGAGGGGTTAAGCGAGGGAGGGTCCATCGAATAAAATAAGCAATTTCTAATAGATAAAGTAACGTGCTGCACATTTTCATACGCAAGCACTTTCTTTTTTTAAAAGGAAAAACGAATCGTAGGCGAGGGGCTGGGTTGCTGATTTGAAAGCTGTTTGGTTTGGTTTGATGAAGTTACAGGATCCATTCAGTAGCTGTTTTTTTTTTGATCTGCTGAAGTAACGCTGGGAGTTCCAATATTGTTCTGTTTTTGTGGGAGAGAGAGAGAAAAAAATACTCCTCCCAACTCAAGCCTTACATTTATATATATATATATATATATATACAGTTGTAATAGATCAGGTAAAACTAAACCAGTTAGTAGTTGTTCTCAGTTTTGGTCAAACTGGACGTTTTAAAGCACTGATATCGGATTCGATGCTATTAGTACAAATCTATTTCATTGCTGAGCAATGTTCATCCCTCACCCCATCAACAACCAGGATCATCAGATATATTTAACATTGTCGCAGCGTCGGGGATATGTTTTAACAGCAAAAGCGGTTCTGTGTTTTTAAAGTTTTTTTTGTGTGTGTAAATAAAAAGGAGGAGGAGAGAGAAAAAAACACACACACACACACAACAACTGAATGTGCCACAACACAGGAGAGGAGGAGAGAGAGAGCGAGAGCTTGTGAAACGTGAAGCGGACAGGCGAGGGATGGTGTATAATGTATGGTCAGAAGCTTAATTATTAAATACGTTTCTGAAAGCTGTTCGATTTAATGACTTGCAGTGAACCATATTTTACAAAAATCAACATGCAATCTGTGGCGTGACAGAGCTGGTCTGGGATGAGCTGTGTGTGTGTGTGTGTGTGTGAGGATGGGTCTAAATAGCTCCTATGAATTGTTCTGTGCAGTGTTAGATGGCTCAGCGGCATGGATAGGCTCGTGTAGGTGTCCATTTCTGGAAGGATCAGGGTCACTCTTTTATCCACTGGGGCTTTATATTTGTAACAAGCCGAGAAACTTAACTTTGAGTCCCCTAAATCACCTCTACTACATGATTTACGAGCAGTGTGTTAGATGCGTGTGTGCATGTATGTGCTTTAGTTCCATCAGACAGACAGACAGACAGACAGATAGATAGTCTACAGCAAGTTTGATGTAGCATTGGCCTCGCATTTCAGGCCAATTCAGAAATCGATCATAAGAAAACTAAATGCCATCTTGCCAGTCACGAGAATGCATTCGAAGAAAGCAGTGTCCTTAAGATGGTGATTATCTGAGAAATGATGTGAAAGCCTAAAATTAAATAGTGAGTAAAATCGTTTGCATGAATCCTTGCTGGGTGTGTGTGTGTGTGTGTGTGTGTGTTAGCAGACGGATTGATAGAAGTAATTTGTTTTGACTGCTTGGTGTGAAAAGAATGAAGGGACTCAACTATTAATACACACACAAACACACACACTCACACCTCGAAGCGTGTATTAGTGTGGTTTAAATGGGAAAACTTAGGGTTGGGGTGGGAGTCTAATTTTAATTTTAATTTACATTTCACGTTTAATCACACCCCCGGATTAATTACATAGAAAGACACTTTTAGGTGTAATTGTACTTGAAACTACGGTTCCTTTTTATAGGACAACAGAACAGCCTTGTTGCATATTGAGTGATATTCAGATTTGGCATTACTTTTAAAAAAAACTAGTATGTGGGATAGGTAAGGTGATTGGAGTTTGAAATAAGGTCTCCCCTTTTTCTCTCCCCCCCCCCACCCATCTCTCACACACACACACATCTTTTCGTTGAATTTTCAGAGAGAATACAGTATAATGTGTTCTTATTTTGGACTACACAGTACATCCCAGAATGTGTCTATCTGCTTCTGTAACTTGGAGCCTCACTCTTTAAATTGGGCGTGTGATTACTGAAACCCAAATACAACGCTATGCAGATAGATCTACATCCTGTGTTGCAGTTGGGTTAAGCAATGGGACAGATTGCTCTATGATTATTGTGGTGTCAATTAGTTTTAGCTCGAAATTGGCTTTTTTTTTTGGTCAGCCCGGTGGGTATCTGATGCATGAGGACACCCATCACCATTTAATTCATCACCATGCTAAAGAGTATCCAAACCAAACAGAGAATTCTATCCCTTCTCCCCGGGAAGGGTGGGACGTGTTGGAAAATGAAACCATATATATTGAAGACATACCAAATACATACATTTCATCCACCAAACACACAGTCACTACACTTTACAGTATATCCTGTGGAGCTCTTTGAGACGTCTCAACGACAGCGATAAGGCACTATATCAAGTGCAAGGATTATTATTATTAATATTATTATTCCAGCACAAATCTCTACGATGTCCAACACTTCTCTATATCTCATTGGAAAATATTCAGCATCTTGTAGACACTTTATAAACCTTTCTTTAAAAAAAATACTGTTTCCATGCCTTTTTGCCTCTAACCTTACATTTTCCCTACTATAATGGTACGATTCAGTAAGGTCACTGAATAAAAAAATACAAATAGTAATTTTAGCTCCTACAATCACACATTTAAATGGTGGGGTTGGGGGGTATTAGTTAGCCACAGTTAAAGTGGTTTAAGCTTATTATGAATTCACTTCATTTCTGAAATGCTTTGAGCCTGATACAGGAAGGCAAACACAAACGAACACAAATACCCACGCATATACAGAAATTAGAACAAGTAGAAAATAATAATCCTTAGATTTGATTTGCTGCCTTTTCTACCATGGGACATCTCAAAGTACTTCACAAAATCTACTGTAAAGTGCAGTGACTGTGTTTTGTGGGCGAATGAGTAGGTTAATAATAATAATTATCTGTAGCGCTTTGAGATGTCTCGAAGATGTGATAAGGCGCTATATCAAATGCAAGAATTATTGTTATTATTATTTGGTATAGCGCCTTATCACGTTGTTGCAATGACTCAAAGTGCTTCACAGAATATAAAGAGAATGTAAAGTGAATTGACAGTGTATTTTGTGGACAATGATGAACTGACACTAGTATCCTTTTGCCAATACCCAGTGAGTCAATTGAAGTAAAAATAAATAAATAATGCAGTCGAAACTGAATGTCTACTTGTGTTTTTTTTTCCTGGCTAAATTGTAATGGGGATGGAAACTAATTGTGATACATCGTCGCCTTAAAATCGTACACAGCTTTGTGTGTTATGTTATGGGCTGAGGTCGGTTCCTATTTAACCGTGTCTACGGTCATCTCCCATCCCCCCAGCTCAGTGTCATGCTCTGCCACCGTTAAACACTCTGGCTTTATATAGTGCCCCTGCAAGAGGGTGCTATATAAATGCAAGTTGTTGCTGTTCCAATGCAATGTTCAATGTCTGGAGCATAAGCAAAACAATAGATTGTCTCTATTTATGTATATATATATATCAAAACAAGGTGGACATAAAAAAAAGCTGATGACAGGCTCGCTCGCTTGGTAAGTGCAATATATTTGTAAACATACAGACAAAGTGATAATTATTTGACTTAACACTGTATGCAGTCCAATACAACAGCCCCTTTTGTATTTTTTCTAAAAAAAAGTTTTGACATCTGTAAAACATCTGTACAGTATACCAATGAAATAGATACTTTAAAAAAAAAGTCTATCCTTTTTTTTGAGGGGGCGTTAGTGGGGAGAGTGCATATTATAATTCAGAGGGCCGTTGCCCAGAAATTGTCAATTGGCATTGATGGGTTACAGTTTTTGACATTTCAAACCTTTGATGCGCAAAATTCCATTGTTGCACCCAAATCCCTGGAATGACGGGAGTTCAGACTAGCTAGGAAAAACTAGCCTTTTTTTAAATAAGTAACCATGGCATAAGAATTACATTATCCTTTTGCAAAAGCATGTTTCCACATTCCCCCCACCCCAAAATAAATAAATTGTATTTCACATCACACAAGGCATCGAATATGTGTTACGTTCATAAAAGGTGATGCGATGCTGTTATGTTGAATAATTAAAACATAGCTTTGCTTTCAAAGGCCTTTTCCTCACAAGGAGTGCTCGGTGTGCCTTTTCCTGCTTCTCTGAACAAGGAAGGCAGGGCTGATCTGTACTTTGACACCCGGCCCGAGAAGAAAGAAGAGAGTCTTCACTTGTGATCACTCTGTGGTGAAACTGTGAGATAATC